CTTTCTAGAAGGGCACACTAAAGATGGGGAAGAAAATAACAACGAAGGGTCAACAAAATATGGCATCTATTTATTTTTTATTACTCGTGTTTAGACTTTTAGTACCACGGGTCAGGCGACTTAGGATACAATAGTTCTTCAAAAAAGAAAATTACCAAAGAACCTGTAGTTCAAAGGTAAGATCTTTTGGTTTGTGTATTTTTAGAAAAATAATAATAATAATAATAAATACTACTCTTTCTAGAAGTAATTTTCCATGAGTTTTTATTTTTGTTGTTTATTTTTAAAGTTGACTATTTTTGTTGTTTATTTTTAAAGTTGACTATTTTTGTTGTTAAGTCTATTCAAGATCACACTTAAAATTGTCACCTATGTAAAAGGTAAATGGACTGGTGAGTTTCTTGTCTAAGGAGTTAAAAAAAGTCTTAAAACAAATGTTCACTTGTTTATTTTTTTTTTATTCTTTATTTTTAGTTATCAAAAAACAATTATCTCTATTCAAAAATTGATATACTATATTTTACAATATTCTTAATTTATCCTCCTTGCATTCACTCTCCCTCGTTGGGCTGAGTTTTAGAAGAATTTATTGAATTAATCCTCTAATGAGTAACTAATGATAGGAAAAGGAAGAAAAAGAAAGAAAAAAAAATTATGATAACCAACATGTGTACTACAGTTGTTTTGTGCTTTTACTTTGACTCAAAGTAAGAATAATGTTTTAGTTTTAGAGTGTGTTTAACACTATTTTGAAACTTATTTGGTAAAGTAAATTTATTACAAGATTTTTAGAAACAAAAATATGAAAGCATATTTGGTAAAAAGTGTTGTAAGTTTAAAAATTTGAATAATTAGTTAAAAATGTTATTTATATATATATATATATATATATATATATATATATATATATATATTTTAATAGTTTTTGCTATAGTGCGGAAGCAAATAAAAGAATCATTTTGATGCTTCTAATTTTGGTCTCAATTTTGGCAGCGCTTTGGTACTATTCAAATGACAGCAAACATTATTAAACATGCTTCGTGCTTCTGTTTCGCTACAATACACTAACAAAAGTAAAAAATACGAAGTAAAGTAATTAATTTTAGTGAGGTTAGGAGAAGAGAATTCATACCTAAAATTATAATGTACGAGACACTTAAGGCTTGACTATTTATTACTCGAAAGCTTACGAATAAAAAATTTAATTAAAATAGATGTCAATTACAATAGTAGACGACAAGTCAAACAAATGAAGGAAATAAAAGGATAAATTTAAATTGCATCGAAAGTTTACTTCCAATGCATAATGAGTCATCGTTTGTTTTCTTACATTATATAGGTTGGAAAATACATTATAAAATGTATTTTCCAACCTATATATAGTTACATCTCTATGAGCATATGCTATAACTATGCGACACAGAAAGTTACATAAAATTTGTTGTTACTTTAAGCTTTAGTTTAATCAAAGTTGAAGTTGTTAAAATGTTAACATAACAGAAAGAAAAAAAAATTGTTGATTCAGACATTTTGGATCTAGTTCATTATATATGATTTTACACATAGCCTATGGAACCAAGGACGAATTTGCATAGGGACAAGTGGGGGAATAATGCCCCAACTCATATATATATATATATATATATATATATATATTTTCTCATTTTCATCTTGTATATATAATTTTTAAAATTTTAAACATGACTTAACACTAATCTTTAGTCTTCCTTTTTTTTTAATCCCTATCCCATACTGAAAATCAATCAATTTATGATTATCTATTTGGCATGTCTATTTTTTGGTTAAAACCCTCGCAATCTACATTGAAATTGGAAGATTAAGAAGTGTGGTACTTTTCTCTTTATTTATTTATTTATATTTTCTTTAATAGAATGTACTAAAAATTAATAAAAGAGGTAAATTTCTATGTTTTCTTTCCAATCTAGTCCGTTACTATAATTGTTTAACTAGTATAACCGTCATTAAAGAATAACAATGGCTTTCACTTTTCCCCGTTTGGTAAATGCTTTTGTTTTGTCTTTTTGTTGACCTAAAACAAAAACATTGTTTTTATTTTCGAGTGTATTCAATACTATTCGGAAATCTTATATTAGCAAGATTTTTTAAAGTAAAAACTGAAAACATGTTTATTCAAAAAATATCGCAAGTTTGAAAATAAAATAATTAGTTATAAAGGTCTTCTTCTTTTTTTTTCTTTTTTTTTTTTTAGGGTACAGTTATTCGCTACAATGTGCAAGTAACCGGAAATACCAATTTGGTGTTTCTGGTTTTAACCTCTTTTTAGGAAACTTTTCGATATTATTCAAATCGCAATCTTTTGTGTTTTGCTTTGATACAGTTTACTGTTCGAAGCAAAAATAAAAAATAAAGTAAAAACAATTGTCAAATAGACCCTTCTTTTGAAGGAGAAGTTACTTAGGAATGAACACATCTTGAAAACTTGTAAAGGCGCAAAAAAAAAAAAAAAACACACTACCTTTAGAGAAAATTTTGTATAATTAATTTTATTGCATTATCAACTGTTGTAACTTCGTAGTAGTACCTCATCATCTTCTACTATTCAAAACAAAAAACGCGGAGTAAAAATAATTGTCAAACATACCTTTCGTTTGGAAGAGAAGTTGAAATGCACGCATTTTGAGAACTTACTTATGTAGCGCAACAAAGGCTACCTTGAGAGAAAATTTTGTATAATTAATTGAAGAGCAGTGACAGATAAACCGAATGTTTCTATCGAAATAAATATCGAATCTTACTTGACTTTGTCCACGTCAAATAATTTTATTACCTAACTCATCGATCTTTTCTTTCCTAGTTTTTCCTTTTTCTCTCTCTTCCTCTTTGTCTTTCTCCTCTCTGTGTCTAATTCTTCACCAATTCTTCTTATACATCTCATCTCTTGAGATACACATATCGGAAGTATTCTAGAGACAAAATTCAAAATTCTTTATCCTCACCTCCTTTTTCAAGATTACCTTTTTTTCTCCATTCATAAATCTTCCAAGAATAAATCTTTTCAATTCCAGATGAAAACTATGCAGATTTTTTTTTTTTTTGGTAAGTAACTATCCACAAAAGAGTTGTCATTAATCCAGAGAAGAGAAACGGATGAATCTTTTCAAAGTTTCTATTTGATTTATATGGATACAAAATCTGAAGGACAAAACCAACGGTTGCAGCTTTTATTTTCTTTTTCTTTTTCTTTTTTGTTCTATTTTGGTTTTGTGATTCTGTATTTGCAAAACATGAAGAAAATTAATTTTTTTTAATTTTATCTTTAATTTTACGAAATCAAAGGAGAGACAAAACCAAAATCAAAGATAAGATTGAATACAAAAGAAAAATCGAGAATTAGAGGAAGAGAGGAGAGATAAGGGAAGAGGTAGGAGTTATCTTTTTAGAAAATAATCTGACGTGGCTGAGCCACGTTAAATTCGACCTTTTATTTGGTTGTTTGGTTCGGTTCTTTTATCATTTTCCAATTACAAGTTTGTAGGTAGTATAACTTAATAATACTTTTTCAACTTTCAAACTAGAACATGTAATATTTAAGTCTTCATAAATTCAAGTGAGTGTATAATAAAAATAATTAAAAAGGATTGTATCACATTTTCCTTATTGAGAGAGCAAGATTATCTGGTTATTAATTAGGAATTACAGATATATTCCCTTGATTAATTGTATCACATTTTCCTTATTGAGAGATCATGTTTATCTGGTTATTAATTACGAATTAAAAATATGCTCTTCATAATGTGATTATAATTACGCAAAACCATTGAAAAACCAATCGCGATTCTGTTTTGTGATGGATTACATGCAATTTTCTTTGAAAAATGAAGCAAACTGGGGAACCAAGCATATCCTACAATTTTCTACTTCAGATTTTTGGCCCTCTCCTCCTTAATTATACAATTCTTATAAACGGGTGCCCATTTTGCTAGAGGTGGACAAAGAACCGATGAAACCGTTGCTCTGCTTTGGTTCCTAATTGTTCTGGTTTCGATTTTAAATTTTTGGAACTGTTAAGTTACGATTTCAATTTCAATTTTAGACTCTAGAACCGTAATTGGAACGATACCAATAATTATATATATTATTTTTTTATTGTATAATTACTAATATATATGTCTATTAATGCTTGTTTGACTATAAATTTTTCAAAATACTCTTATTATATGTTGCAGTAATCCTATTAGAAGAATATTCATGTAAAACCTCTTCATCAAAAATCAAAATCATAATATATATATATATATATATATATATATATATATATATGTTCTCATGTACTATATTATATGATTCTAGAGATATATATATTATTCATATTATATATTAAATGGTATCCACATAAATGTGGCTCAATGTATTACTTGAAAATATATATATATATATCGAAATTGTGGAACCGGTTCGGCTAGGTTCCAATTTCGATTATAATACAAGTGTTGCTAAAAATTAGACTCTGTGAATCCCTATGTTTCACTCTCATTCTCATATTAACGGACCAAAAGCAAAACTCAAACATCATTTTGAAATATACTTTCGTTCTTATTTTAGCCAAAAATAAAACACTTAAAATAAAACCAACTTCAAAACACATCGCGTGCCGAATGACCCTTAAATTTTACGGGTTTCATGGTTTCTCATCACGTGGGCCTCCCAAACGCTTTCGGGACGTAGGTCTACTCCAATGGGAACGTGTTGACGTAGAAAATGACAAACCACTTTTTAATTCCATTTTGTCACTTCAAATATCTAATACATGCATATATAATAACCATGTAGTGCTGGTAAGCGCTAACCTCACCGCCTGTCATTTTCCAGTAAAAACACAAACGCTGTCGTTTCAACGACCTCCGATAAAATTAAGAGACTGTCATTTCCTCCGAACCACAACCTCATCAAACACCGTACACTTAGCTTCGCCTTTTCCACAACACTACTATAAAAATCTGGACTTCACAGTCTATATATATTCACACACTGACACACACGCACACATGTATATGAATGAACTGGGGAAGCTCTGAAACACACAGTCTCTCTCTCTACGAAAGTCGTGTTGATGCTTGCTGGTCCACAGAATCTCATGACATTTTCCTGAAGGAGGAGGAAACCCAGTTCTCTCTCTCTCCTCCTGGTATGTTTCGCTCACAGTCTCTCTATATCAGAGAAATGTGTATAAAATATATACTTACATGTGTATATGATGTTTTTAGTTTGGGCTTTGAATTTCGATCAAGGTTTTCTTTTTCTTTATTTTTAGTTTTATTTTATTTTTAACTAGATCTGTTGATTCTCAAATTGAATGAGAGAGGAGTTTGAATTCTGTCTTAGAAATAATCGTCGATTAGGGGGCTGAGAAAGTACGGACTTCAGAATAATTGGGCTTTTTTCAGCTTTTTTCGTTTCTTTTCCTCTTTTTCTCGTTAATCAAACAGAGAAGAACTAGATTTTTTTAGAAATCTATTCAAAAGGCTGTATTTTTCCGAGTAGCTTTATCTGTACGGCTAACGTGCCGTTCTTGTGATAGCTCGTTTATTATTATTTATATACCATTTTTGGTGGATTTTTGGTGATTGCAAATAATAATATATAAAATTTGTTTGTGAGAGGTTTTTTATTTTATTTTATTTTTTAAACCGGAAGTTAGGTTGGATGATCACAAACCAGATCAGAGTGACCTTACATACATGAACTTTCAGATTGTTGCTTTATTTGACAGTATTGATGAGCTTGATTGTTATATCCATAAAATTCAACATTTTTCCAAGGTTTTGATTTGAACATTTGAAGAAAAAGGTAATATTGGTTGAGAGTTATTGTGCTTATATGTAATAATTATGCGCTTCCATTACATAACACTTACTTTCTAGCGATTTATGGAATATGATCTGATGGGTAATCTTACTTTTTGATGCAACTGAGTAATGAAATGTGAAAGTAGTTCCTTCAATTGAAATTGTGTAAAGCTGTTAATTATTTTCTTTATATATATATATATATATATATATATATATATATATCAAATCGGTATAGGTGCCTTTGCAATTATTGCTTGTGGTGTTATGTGAAACATTAGCTATATTTTTGTTCTCTCCTTGCAAGTACAAATTCCAGATTAATTATTTGTCAACAAATATTTGGTTGTTTTTGCCTATCAAGTAGGCAGATCAGTGTCATGATAATGTATGATGCTCCAACTTGTGTCTAAATGGTAAATTGAAGCAGCTGACAATAGTCATTCCTGGGCTTTTTGGCCATTAAGCAACCTCTAATCGATACGCCCCGGTTTGGGTGGCAATTTTCTCTAGCATTCCTGTCATTTATAATTCCTTTGAGAGCACATTTTCACAATTTTGTGATAGACAAGAAGCCAACTCTCACATTGATAGCCTTAATGACATCTGCTGCGGCGCCTTGGGAATCCTTTACCTAGACTATTTCCCTGCATCATTTCCTTCCTCATTCAAATTCCACAAAGTTAATCCGATGTGTCCATACATTTGCAACATTCACCATTTAAAATTCAATGATATAATAAATACTTATTAGCTATTAGGTTAAATTACTCTGATCTCTCACGAGGTTTAGTATTTATACCCACGGATTAAATTTTGGTGAAAATTACTCAACATTCGTTGTCAGAGTTAGAAATCTAACACCGTTAAGTAGGGGTGCACAAAAGAACCGGAACTGTGGAACCAAAACCGTTTTTTTCGGTTCTCACGGTTCCGGTTCCGAATTTAGGAACCGTTGACATACGGTTCCGGTCCGTGGGAACTGGTAAGAACTGGAACCGTATATATATATATATTATATAACTATACTAACTTAATAGGCTAAAAACGTAACTAAATAGTACTCTAAGTCTCTAAACGCAGTAAACACTGATCAGGCAGCCATGTGGTCCTAAGCTAACCACAAAAGAAAAAGTGAAAAACTTAAATAAAACATTACTTTTTCAGTTTTTGCCCTAATGTCACGGGCCTAGAGATTTGGCGCAGCGGCACGGCCCGTGCGGCACCAAGGCGTTGCTTCAGCTCGCGCAAGCGCCCTGGTCAGCCACCACGACCTGCCCTCCCAAGGATACATGCTGACTGGTTTCGGCCTGCCATGGCCTCGTCAGGGGAACGGCTCCAGCTCCCGACCAGTTTGTGCAGGGATGGCCAACTCCCTTCTTCATAGTCAAGTCCACGACCAGCGACAAGCACCTCGAACTGAACCGAGTCGACCTGCCTGAACTCTGAAGAGGTACCATCCTGTGGTCCTGCACGCCCCTTCCCTGGAACCATTCCCAGTCAAACTCTGCTCTTTGCCAACCAGCATGCGTGTCTTCCATCCTCCAAGCGTCTTAGGAATCACTTGGTGACATTCTCCCCCACCCAAATCCTGCGACGTCCTCGTCGCAGTGCGGCGCTTCACTACTGCGTCCACTCCCTTCCAAAGTCTGCCTCCATGCGGTATGCTCGCCTTCCCACCATCGCTTCCTTGTGCAGCTCCCTGCACTGCACTCGCCCAATGATAGGCCTCGGACCAAGGGGACGTCCACTCCTCAAGGACGTGACTCTTCTCCGTCATGCCGCCTCCGCGACATCCCGAGCAAGCAATGGCCTTCTGCCGACTTGATGCTCGCCCTTCACCATGGTTTGCATCACCCAAGGACTAAGCACGAACTTTGGTGCGCGCGGCCCTCCGGCCCTTCAATGCGCAACTTCAACGGACGCCTCTTCCTGGGGAGATGGAGGCTCTCCCCCTCAACTGCATTGATTCCTCCACATCGACGCAACTTCAATGCACCGTCTTCATTCTCTGACCCCTCCCGGACCGACAAGGGGGCACCCCACCGTGCTTTACCCCAAGTCCTGCTCTGATACCATTTGTCACGGGCCTAGAGATTTGGCGCAGCGGCACGGCCCGTGCGGCACCAAGGCGTTGCTTCAGCTCGCGCAAGCGCCCTGGTCAGCCACCACGACCTGCCCTCCCAAGGATACATGCTGACTGGTTTCGGCCTGCCATGGCCTCGTCAGGGGAACGGCTCCAGCTCCCGACCAGTTTGTGCAGGGATGGCCAACTCCCTTCTTCATAGTCAAGTCCACGACCAGCGACAAGCACCTCGAACTGAACCGAGTCGACCTGCCTGAACTCTGAAGAGGTACCATCCTGTGGTCCTGCACGCCCCTTCCCTGGAACCATTCCCAGTCAATGAATGTTCTTAGCCAACCAGCATGCGTATCTTCTATCCTCCAAGCGTCTTAGGAATCGGATCGTGACACTAAGCTTCAGACTTCAGTCATAGCCTCCAGCCTCCTCTCATCACCTAAACCCTCGCCTCCTCTAAGTCCTCTCATCAACCATCGCCCTCGCCTCCTCTCATCGGCCCTCGCCCTTGCCCTCCCCATTGCCTCCTCTTCAAATCTTCAGATCAAGTCTCATCTCAAGCTTCAGACTTTAGATCAAGCTTGATATATATATTTTTTGATAAGTCTTTCTTGTACACCTAGAGTAACTTCTGCGGCTAGCTACACGTCACTGTTTGGTGTGTGTTTGTGTGTGTTTTTGGATCATATAAAAAACAAACATATTTCAGTCACTACATGAGTAGCTTTCCCAATGAGATTGAGGAAAAAATCTCAAGCTTGATATAAGTCTCATCTCAAGCTTCAGACTTCAATCCTCGCCTACATCTTCAGATCTTCATCCTCACTAGTCACTCCTCATCTTCTCTTCAGATTTTCAGATCTTCAGATCTTCATTAACAGTCGGTTCCATGGAACTGAACCGGAACCGAACCGGTATTCACGGTTTGGTTCCGGTTCGCTTCCACCCTATATGGTTCCGGTTCCGGTTCCGTTTTTAAGGAACCGTTGTGAACGGTTCCGGTTCTAGTTCCAACAGGAATCGTGTGCACCCCTACCGTTAAGTGTGATACGTAAAATGATAATAGTACCTCATGATTAGTATTTTGGTCTCTCGTTAATACAGACTATGTCCGAATTTGTTTAGCAGTAGTCAGATATTTGTCAACATGTTCAACTTGTTTATGTTAGGAATGAAAAGAACTGCAAAGTTACCTCTGTAGGTTCCATTATTTATTTCCACATACCATATTATGGCCACATTTCTTTTTTCATTTTCATTTCATTGTTGATTTAATTCTGAAGGAAAATCTCTGCCGCTCACATGCCCGCACCCTCTCATTCATGTAGTCACATAAAGTTCCAGAGCACATGTGCAAACTCACATATAAGGTATAAATGTAAACTCTTGTCCATATTGGGGCTACAAATGCATGGGGACTACATAGAACTAGAACAGCAACTTTGATTTACTTGCTTAGGCAAGTAAATGAAGGTGTGCTCAACAGGCTGCCTCTTGGGCAGGTAAATGGGGCATGACTGGCCCTTGGGGTGGAGGGAGGAAGAGGTGGTCGTCTAACATTCTGGAATTTCCTATATATTCGGTAATAATTATTTATAGATGATCCCCTTAACTTTTTCATGGATATCATCAGTTTAGACTTTGATATTAGCTTATAAAATAGTTATTAGCAAAACGACGTTCTTCATACTGAAAAAACAAAAAGAAATTTGGAAAGTAGCCATTCCACTCCATATTATGGAATCCCCCCAGTTTTACCTTTAGGGCAAAGATTTGTGTGAACATATGAAAAGAAATAAGCTATTGAGGCAGTGATATGCTGCATAGAGGACGTCCCTGGCCATGTGACATAACGATGCATTGATCCTCTGCTAGTGGATCTAGTTCTCCAAACAATAGCTTCTACTTTGGGACAATATTTCTAGACATTTATTTCTACTTGTTAGTGATCTTTGCATGTTAATTTATCTTTTTAACAAAGATAACGAGATGGCATTAGATTGGTCATCTCTTATTATATTATCATGCCTAGTAGTTCTGTTAGCATTTTTCGGGTTTGCACTGTACAATATTGAGAATCTCTCGTGTGGATCTCTATCTTTATGGGCATATGCAGGAGAAAATGAGACTTTGTTGCTTAGTGGACTCATTTTTTTTTTTTTCCTGATTTAGTGGACTCATTTTAATTGAATTATTTTTGTGGTATTGGTTGATGTTTACTGTTTTAGGTGGAACTCAGTTGTGAGATTGTGGTAGCTGTCACCATGTTTCGTCGTAGGAGCAATTCTCATCATGATCAGGGGAACGACGAACTGCAGCCTGAGGTTAAGGTAATAAGGAATTGGAAAATATTGAAGTTGAGGGCACATATTCAGTAGATTGATTCAACTACATTGTTGCTGGGATGAGTTGAGGCGATTCCCTCAGATTTAAGCAGACCGCAGATTGGTTGGCTTGTTAGTTGTTACATTTATGTCAATGTGGTTTTTCTGATGGTGTACTTTAGCAAAGTTCGTCATATTTCTTGCAAGCCATTAGGAGTTGTCAATATTTGCTGTGTGTTAGCTTGATTCCTGAATCAATAGCTCTTCATATTCCAATTCAAATTAGTCGGACTGGGCTACAAAAATTGTCTTTCACCATTTATTATTTAAATAGGGCCACAATTACTTCAGTTCTCAACTGATAATAGTTCAGAGACAACATAACTGAATTACTCTTTGCAATTGTACCCAGAGAAGATCTGGTTGACAATTTTACTCATGCAAATTCGTATTCTAAATGCAGCTTAATGAACTTAGGGCTGCTCTTGGACCGCTATCTGGACGCAGCTTACAGTATTGTTCTGATGCATGCTTGAGGAGATATTTGGAAGCCCGGAATTGGAATGTAGAGAAATCGAAGAAAATGTTGGAAGAGACACTCAAGTGGAGATCAACCTTTAAACCTGAGGAAATCCGCTGGGTGAGTAGGGAGAGTTTTCTATATGTTGGCCTGCAAAAGTTAAAATTTCTGCTGTTGGTATCACATTTAGTTAGCATAGCAAGTGTGAGGAATGCAATAATAAAATGGAGTTACTATGAAGTACCGTATGTATAAAAGATTATTGATGGTATATATGAATTGACCGAAGGTTAGTATATGGAAGCTTATTTTTATATTGTTTCCCATTATATATGGAAGATTGTTGTTATTAATCATTATTATCGTCATCATTATTTTTATTTTTTAACCCTTCATACATTTCATTGCAAGATCAATTAACTGTTATTGGTGGATTATAATAACTATGGCCTAACTTCACCTCTCCATCCTCTGTTCCTCTTATTTTTATTTTTATTCTTATTCATTTGGTCCTAGATATCTATATATGTTAGTACTTACGTTCTTTGAGGCTTGTTTGTAGAACTTGTACTGACCATAACCTATTTCGCTTGCTAGAGTGAAGTTGCAAATGAAGGTGAGACTGGAAAAGTATACAGAGCAAATTTTCACGACCGCTATGGAAGGTCTGTTCTTATACTGAGGCCAGCAATGCAGGTAAATTATTTAGATTATCTAATAAAGAATCTTTCAGCTTGGTTGGTTTTGAAGATTAACACTGCCATTTATTTTGCAGAATACAAAATCATTAGACAACCAGATGCGTCATCTAGTTTATCTCATAGAGAATGCTATCCTTAATCTCCCAGATGATCAAGAACAAATGGCTTGGTTAATCGACTTTACTGGATGGGCTTTAAGCACCAGTGTGCCTGTCAAATCTGCTCGAGAAACAATCAATATTTTACAAAACCATTACCCCGAAAGGCTAGCTGTAGCATTCCTCTACAGTCCTCCACGTATTTTTGAAACATTCTGGAAGGTTTGTTTTATACAGTTCATGACTGTAATCTAGTTTTCATATACTCCAGAGACTCTTACCGTCGTGTGAGCTTACTGAAATGTTCTCTTGGTAATTGAACCGTGCCATCTATTTTTCATCGATTCTTTAGTGATCCACAAAACTTGTGTAGGTTTGTTGCTACCAATCACATACTTCAGAAATGTGATAAATTTTCTTTCATTTTTGCATCAAAATACAAGTAATAAATTGACACATTTTCACATGAATTTACTTTTAGATAATATGTGACCTGTCAAAGATTGAAAAATCATCTAGCTACCTCCTGAGAAGTAGGAAGGTCGATGACCAAAGTTATAACACATTAGCGCATGCAATGTGTCGACTGGAGAAATTCAAATTGTGTTATTCTGAGGAATGTCTTTTTGTTTTGATATCCTACTCTTTTTCCTTGGTTTAACTTTTTCGCTGCTTCTGTTTATGCAGATAGTCAAATATTTCTTGGACGCTAAAACATTCCAGAAGGTGAAATTTGTATACCCGAAGAACAAAGAGAGTGTGGATCTCATGAGTACATATTTTGATGCGGATAATCTTCCAACTGAGTTTGGAGGGAAAGCCACATTGAACTACAACCATGAGGAGTTTTCAAGTTTGATGGCTCAAGATGATGTGAAAGCTGCCACTTTGTGGGGATGTGGTGACAAGCACCACTGTGGTAGTAATGGTTACTCGGGAGGAGCAGAGGTGGCTCCAGAGCCTCCGTGCATCGCACCACCAGCCAGCTGAACCGGCTGCCTCTAACTTCCGCAAAACTATAATAAGTTATGATGTGTAGTTTACATCGGATTGTAGGCTGGACTGAGATGATAATTAGGTTAACTAACAGCAGCTTGATGCCTGCTTGTGATGTTCTTGCTGAGAAACAGACACACCTTTCCAAAGGCAGACATTGTATTGTAATGGCTGTTTGACTAGTGAAACAGATTATACCTTTTGTCTCTCTAGAAAATCTCTCCCCAACCATCAATATTTTGTTGATTATATAGTCAAAATCATGCAGTAAGCAGTGCATTTGGTGAAGAATTTCTAGTGTGATATAGGGTTGAAAAAAAAGTGTGATATAGGAAATCTGAAGTCACTTTACATAATGGTGTTCCAATTGATGTTAACAGAGTTGGTGAACAATCATAACTAATGTAATGTATAACAAGATCATAACCAATGTAGAGATGTCAAGAAATGGAAAAGGAAGATAGAGAGAGAGCTGAGAATTAAAAAGCAAAGTGGAATTCCTTGGGAAAATGGTCCATGTTATGGCACAAGTCATATCTTGAAATTAGTGTCATGCTTAACATCAAAATGGAGTTCGATATTGGACAAAAGTCATATTCTGAATTTTGTGTTTTTCTATCCGTTAGTGAAGTTGCAATAAATGCTAATTCAGGTAATGAGTTATCATTTATTGTAAAGCATCAATACACGATGTATTATTCGGTTTGTAATTTTTTTTAGAAGTTCGATCGGTATGATTGATTTATATTAATATTTATCTGAATCTATTATACTGCGATTGGATACAAACTTTGATACTTCACTAAACTAACTAAATTATAGGTATAAAAAAAGAATAATTTCATAAAAATAGAATTTTGGGGGTCAAAGGACAAAATAATGAAATCAGAATCAAGTTTTCCAAATTAATGGAATTTTATGAAAGTATGACGTGGACATGGAAAATTATTGTATATCATTTTTTTTATTTCCAAAATACCCTTCTATTGTTGTTATAAAATTATGCTACTACCCCTCTCATATCTAGAGAGAAGAGAAACACATCTATACTAATCCTCTCAAACTTTTTTTCTCCAGGAACTCCTCTTTCCTTAAGCTCCCGAAACACACCGTCAAAATCATCAATATCACCATAAAACGACGCAGCGGAGCCAGAATGGCCAACAGCACTGCCCAAGCCTTCGCCGACGTCGCCAAGTCCAACCAAACCCTAGAAATTAAGAGATATTTGCTATTTTTTTTTTAAAAGGTAGATACTTGCTACTTTGATACTGCAAACCTTCAAGAAAAATGGAAAGAGGCCCAGTTCTCATTTGTTTTGATGGTGTGATTGGATTTCACACACCCACTTGAAGATTTCATGTGGATCCACAAACATTTGTATCAACCTTTTGTATTGCCGTAGATAGACCATTATAGAGGATTTTGTTGGTTTTTTCAAGATGTTTCGTGTTGGGTTTTTGAATCTCAACTTGGATCTTAATTTTGCTTTTCTCTTGTATGGATTTTGGGTTTAAATTGGGTTTGGAGGGAAAAGATGTTTTAGAGGGACCGGGAGAAGGGAGAACAAAATGAGTTTTAAAATAAGTTTCCTGGTTAGGTGGGTGAAAGAGAGAGATAACCGATGAGATTGTTGGTTGTTTGTTTCTCTCTCTAAATATGAGAGGGTTGGTAGCATAATTTCATAACAATAATAGAATGTTATTTTGGGAATAAAAAGATGATGTAAACTAAATTTTCATGTCCACGATAGACTTTTATAAAATTTTATTAATTTAGAAAACTTGATTTTGACTCCATTCTTTTATACTTTGACCCTCCAAAATTCCATTTTTATCGAATTATCCCTATAAAAAATGCCCCGTCAAAATGGAAAGTTTCTATATCGAGTACCCCGCCCCTTTCTCTCTTCCTTTTTCTTCTTATATCATTACAACATTGCCCTAATTTTCTTTCTTGGTGCCCATGCGGCCATGCCTTTGGATTAATGGGCTTCTTGTGTTTGCTCTTCGGCTCAGTCTATTTCTGATGGCGTATGGGCTGGGCTAGATTTATCTTGTCTGGGCCGCCCTTTACCTCATATGGCCCATCCTTCATGGAATCATGGCCTGTGTTGCATCTTGCCTTTTGATAAAATTAAAAATTTTAAGAGCTGAATATTAAGAAGTGCTTAAGTTACTAAGTGATAATTAAAAAATATATAATTCTTTATATTTTTTTAAATTTTCAACATTCATGTGATAAGCAATGTCTATGCTATTTATAATTTTATCTCATTTTAAGTGGCGCCTACCATTTTGATATTCAAATTACGTAATCAAATACACTTAATTGGATAACCACAAAAACCATTCAAAATTAAGCAAACACCACATAAATGTCATCCACAGAAGTTCTTAGTTTTAAACAAATCTACGAAGAGCACCAGATATTTGTGTAAGATGTTGAGGTAAAAGAGGAATTCAAGCTGCCTTTTTCGAAATGTCGTTTATGATAAGTCAAATGTATTGTAAAAGTTGATGTGAGGTCCACATATTAAATATTTTGCACCAATTATATGAGTTATGTATGTCAGAAGAAGAGAAATGTATAATTTGTGTCTGCGTCGGCATGGATTGTGAACAAGAGATGGAGGAAATGAACAGTAAAGTGGAAGTGAAAATCTGCCTATAAATATGCATGAATTGTGTTAAGTTCAATATACTGAATAAGAAGAAATAATAGAAAGCTTATTTCTATTTTCGTTCCTTCTCATTTGTTGTGTTTTATATTTCTTACTTTATATTTGTTCTATATTTACAAAAGAATGTTATTTACAAGAAAACAAAATTATTAGCAGATACACACAAGGATAAGAAAATGTACTCTCAAGTTCCGTATATACAATTTCATCCTTCTCATTTGTAGTATCCAGCCATATATTGAAACAAAGAAATTTATTTGCATTAATTACATTTTTAATTACATTGACAGTCTTGAAAAGTTTGATTCAAAGACCGATGAGGGTATTTTTATGGAAGAATCAACAAAGAGCAAGACCTACGGGTGTTATAATCTCATAACCTCCAAAATAGTTGAATCCATACATGTGAAGTTTGACAAAAATCCTAAATCTTTCGTCACAGAAGATGTGTGTTCACTACCAGGGTCAATGAATCAAGTTCTTCACATTCAGAGCCTGTTGTTCATAAAGAATTCACTTATCGTACCTTACAAAAGCATGTTCAACATGTTCTTCACAATAAGATTCCGTTTGTTTCGATATAAAATATTTTTTTCGTAAAATATTTTTTTTATATTTATTTTTCGGTATTTGACAAAGGTCTAGATCGAGATCATGTAAAATATCTTGTCGAAAATTAATGAATAAGTTATTTTTGTTAGATTTTGAATTTTTTTTTCTTCGTAAATATTTTACAACAATCAAATATCAGAAAACACAGAAATATTTTTTGACGCTCAAACAAACTGAGCAGACAAATATCATAAACAAGATGTTTTAGCTAAAAAAGGTAATTACACAAGACACCATTTAAAAATGTTTACAATAATGTTATATTTGAGAGCACCACCAATTCATCTTTCTCATTTGTAGTATTTTAGCTTTGGATTTGGGATTGAAGAAAATTTAAATTTGTACTACATTTTTTTCAATTCTAAATTCAAAGTACCGATTCGATGCCCGCTAAACATAACCTAAATTTTAAAAGAAATTAATAACAAAAAAAAAAAAAAAAACTAGATAAAATTCGTAGTCAATACACCCTTCATCTCGTCTTATCATTTAATATACAGGACTAAACTTTTTAAATAACACCATAACCACATCCACATGGGTATTAAACTTTTCTGAACAGCAAAGTATGAAATTTCAAAATAATGAATTGTCACACCAAGAAATTTGTAGGATTACTAAACAAAGATGGGAAAAACCCTCAACCCCTGTAAGAACCTAACTAGTGGGGATAGATTCCACTTTAACTCAAATCAGGACTTAATTTTTCTTATTTAGTTGGAAATACTTTTATAATGATCTTGCTTAGTCGAGTCAAAGTTCTGAATACCTCGATTAAAATATATATATATATATATATATATATATATATATATATATATATATATAAAATAAATAAAACTCTAATGATCTTGAATTCATAAACAACTAATAATCTCGAACCATTATTCAATTCAAATTACTTTTGCAGATAAGAGATAAGAGGATGACAATAAGTAGGTGGCATTGACACTAGTTTTCTCTTACCTAAATTATGATAGATTATAAGTAAATTTTGCATAATACTAGGATACACAAAGACCGATCAATTCCTGCTTAAAAGGTGTACAAGGAAAATGAGTATTCTCTAATTGTTTAATCATGAGTAATGATAAGGTAATTGAAAAGAAATCCTGAATTAATATCGAATTTAACGTAGTTAGTTATTCTTATCAGGTATTAAATAATTATTTTTTGAAAACTGTTTAAGTAGATACGTCAAATTCGGTACTTATTCGGGATTAATTCATCGGTCTCCCTTTCATTATTCTTTAATCCTAGTCAAATGTTTCTCTCCTGTTGTTTGGATGTAAAAAAAAAATATATATATATATATATATATATACAGACAGTGGTGTTCAATTGCTCCCTGATGAGTATAGAGTAGTATACTTACTTTTAAATCTGACCTTAAATTTTAATCTTACAATAATTAATTATTCAGTGTTTCTTTTTTATATTTAAGGCAATTGTTTTTTTTTTTATTTTTTTTTATTACCATTATATATTATTAAAATAAAATGATAAAACTAGACATGTTTTTAATAAAAACAAATTAAAATCAAATTGGTTAGAATTTCCTTTCCATCGAATTCTTAAAGTATATCAATTAAAAATAAAAAAATTTAATTATTTTTAATAAAAACAAATTAAAATCAAATTGGTTAGAATTTCCTTTCCATCGAATTCTTAAAGTATATCAATTAAAAATAAAAAAATTTAATTATTTCCAATTCCTTAGACGATAAAAGGTTTCAATCACATCTGAAAAAAATAAAAATAATGAAAATTTTAATCCCATTAATTTTGAATTCCATCACCACTACCTCCACTGCAGCCCCCCACCACCTACCCCGCCGTCGCCACCTCCACCACCTCCACCGCCGCCACCACCTACCCGCCACTGCGGCCACCTCCACCACCGCAATAAAAAATTTTAATTATTCCCAATTCTTTCGAGATAGAAGGTTTCGACCACATCTGAAAAAAATAAAAATAATGAAAATTTCAATCCCATGAACTTTGAATTACCTCAACGCATTTCACCTCTATCACCACCACCTCCACCTCCACCGCAGCCTCCACCACCTACCCCGCCGCCGCCACCTCCACTACCTCCATTGCCGCCGCCACCTACCCAGCCACTGTCGCCACCTCCACCACCGCTGGCGAAATTGTCGCGTAAAGGGGTGGGTTGCATCTCACCCTTGCCTACCCCTGTGCCCACCCTTGGTCACATCCGTCCCATTTGACCCCAATCCGATTATCTCGCGTGAGAGGACGCTCTCACTTCCGAAAGTAATAAAACAGCGGGGGTATATAAGAAAATTTTGTGGAGATTATTATTGAATGGACATGGAGGATCTTGTGGTATCCCGCCCGCCGCTGTTTACTGTGTGTTTTTTTTTTTTTTGCGTGGGGACCACTCAAGAAGTTATTGGTATCTCCCCTTGCTGGCGGTTTAAGACGTACAGATACACTGTGTGCTTGGACTTTGGTCGTCATTTCCCACGTCACCTCAGGGATTAGATGGTACAAAGTCGACTGACGTTTATTTATTTATTTTTGGTGCCATATGAATGAAAATGGATAAACTGGTAAAGTAAAATAAAAAATAATAATAATAATAAAAAAATTATGCTATTCGAAAAATGTGCAAATATTCTCCTGTATTTTTTAAATTGCTTAAATAAGAATATTTTGTCAATTTATCAATTAAAATATTTCAAATATTCTTACAATAAAATAAAAGAAAAAAAAAACCAATAAATATGCAAAATGTCCAAAAAGGACTCTCTCTCCCCCTCTCTTGATTCGATTCATTCTCTTCGTTTTCATTCTCACACTCTCCCTCTCTCTAAACCAAAAGAAATAAGATCCATCATAAAAAATAAAATAAAAAAAAAAACTTACGAATACAATGACCGATTAATTACAAAAGATGGTTTGGCAATGACAGCCATCATCGGAAAGAAGAGCATCAATGTCAAATTGGCGGGTAATTTTTTTTTTTTTTATTATTTTTTTGTTAGATATAAATTTTGTAATTGATAAATTTTAATGCCAAAACGTGTTCTATCTAGTTATAATTTTTTATATATTTTTGAATTTTGATGTCGGAAGAGAAACAAATGCATACATACTTTGATTTATATGAGAACATCATGTTAAAAACGTGGGCGATGACGCTTTATTTTTCATCTTTAGTGAAGACATTTTTGAGTCTTAAACATTGCTTTCATCTTTAGTGAGGACTTTTTTGAGTCTCAAATATTGCCTCCCATAAATAAATAAATTGTTAATTGATTATTCATTTGTAATTCATAGATTTCTATTCATTTAAAAACTCTAAGATATCCAAAATCAAATTACTTTACGAATTTTTGTCATAAATTGGTGGATAAAATGTTATATTGATTCATAATTTATTTTCTTAAAAGATAAAATTATTCTACTTACCAAAACTAATTTTACGACTTCAAGTATACAAACAGTTGCTAGGGCTTAAATGCATCCAATTTTGACTTGAGATCGATCTATTTCCAAAACTATATTGATTGTGAAAAGGATAGTATAGTGATTCCAATACATGTGAGATTCTTGTGTCATATAGATAAGAGTCAAGTGTAAAAAACATTCCTGTGTATAAGTTATATGCACAGTTAGTCTTTCCTTTTTGAAAATGTATATTTCAGTCCATAATGTTTAAAAAATGTGCATATAAGTTCCTTTGCTCATTTTTTTGACAAAAAATAAATCTGAAAATTTAATTTTACCCTTTTTGTTCCTATTTTGCCATTCATCTTTGACACACCCCAACCCAAGTTACACTATTTAATAAATTAAACAAATTGGAATGCATCCAACCATCTGCATTAACCTCATTCATACATGACATCATCCTACATCAGAGTACCTGCTTAACAGTTTACAATTAAAGATAAATTATAAATCCACCTCGCAAGTTCTAAGAAAACTAAACAAGTAACTTCAAGTCATAATATTAAGTTCTACTACAATATTTACATTTTATACAAAAGACGTTCCATGGTTCTTTTCCCCATTCACACACAAGACTCTAGACTTGGCAGTAGCAACCCAACCTGATACCTGAAAAATATAAATATGGAAGGAATGAGCTTAAAACCCAGTGAATGCAACAGTACTACATGAGAGTAATATAAGCAAATATTATCTGTTAACTTCAATTAAACTTTATTAACATATTACAGGTATTAAAATATCATACTTTCCTTCTAGGCCAGAGTATGGACCTTATATAATATAGTACTCTCCTTCTAGGCCAGAGTATGGACCTTATTTAAATATAGTACTCTCCTTCTTGGCCAGAGTATGGACCCTTTTTAATGTAGTACTCTCCTTCCAGGCTAGAGTATGGACGTTATATAATATAATCAAGTTATAGATATATTCATCTTCAATTCACATAACCACTGCAATACTTCAATTAAACATATCCAAGAATAAACTTCCAATGAGTACACTCACCTTGGCTACGCCCCCACTTTGTTCACTTATCATTTGGTATGGTCGAAGTTGTCAGCTCCTTTTCCAGGCCTATACAACATTATGACCGTGTTATATTTATTCCAAAAAGATTAAACAATTAATTATCAATTCAAACATAAATTTCATCCTTAGTATGTCATTGGAATGGAAATTCTAATCACAACCACATAAAATTAACTTCAACACAGTAATTACACTCAAGTAAGAATGGTATTCTTTTATATATAATTTTAACACTCAATTAGGAAAATAATGAAATACATGGATTTTATTCAAGAACACCTCAATAAATAAATTATTGAAGAATTAGATAATATAAATTTCCAATAAAAATTAAAACTACAGAATTTCTATCTTTAGGACTGTGTACACAATTTTCTCTAACTTCCCTTATTTGTTTCTTCTTCCTTCCCTATTTTTACTTTCCTTCCTTCTCCTTATTTCTCCCTCCTTCAATCTCCTTTCTGATTCGATTTCTATAATTTCTTTCTATACATTTATTGCATGCCATATATATTTCACCCCAACAATACAAACACCTAAAAATTCCTTCCATTTCAGATTATTTAGAACTTGAATTTATAGCAATCTACATGATTTATACAAAATTCATAAATCATATTATCATGGAAAGTTGAAATATTAAACATCAAATATAGAGATTTAATATATATATAAAAGTTCTTTACCTGAACCTGAATGGAGAACTCCCTTTCCTTTTTCTCCCTTATCCCTCTTTCTTTCCCACACGACTTCACCTTCTTTTCCCCTGTATTTTCCCTTTCAAAACTTTCTTTCTTTTTGCAACCCTAGGCCGATTCAGGAAGTCACAAAGATAAACTTCCAGATACTAATATTTTATTTCCATGCCCCGTGTCACTTCAGTGTTAAATTAAATTCCCTTGTTTGTGACTCATGGGTGCTATGGTTGGTAACAGTTTCCACAAGAAGTTTTTTTTTTTTGTCTTTTTTTATTTTTTTTTTTATTTTTATTTTTCTTTCCCACTTATCTTTCTAGGCTTTACTAATGTGTGTGCATGCATATCATACTTGTGTGTTATGTATATTCACTATTTCCTTAGAATAAATTTTAGGAGAAACTTACTTACTTCCCATGTTTAGTGTATATACCCACTAATGAAAAAATATATAGATGGGTCCTGCAAGCAACAAACATAACACACTATATATTTTATTTAATTAATTTATTTATTTCTTTTCATTCACCTAGCAGCTAAAAGTTTAATTAGTAAGCTGTAATACAAAACAAAAACTTCACAAAACAGAACCCCCATAAAATATTCATATGTAAACCACGTCTAATTAAAATAAAATTAAGCTAATGAAATTAATTTTGTATCGGGTCTTACAATTCTTCCCCCCTTTAATTAATTTCATCCTCGAAATTTAAAATGCATGAAACATACCGAACAAGTGCGGATATTGCATTCTCATAGTTTTCTCGCTTTCCAAAGTTGCTTCTTCAACCGTGTGACTTCTCCACAATACCTTTACCAGTGATATAGTTTTATTTCGTAGCACTTGCTCCCGGCGATCCAAAATCTGTACTGGTTCCTCTACATAAGTTAAATTTTCCTTCAACTCTATTGGTGTTGCAATTAAAACATGAGATGGATCTGAAATATACTTCCGAAGCATAGACACGTGGAACACGTCATGTAATCTTGATAATTCTTCTGGTAATTCTAACGGATACGCTACTGCTCCTATTCGTTCCAAAATTTTGTACGGTTCAATATACCTGGGACTTAATTTACCCTTCTTTCCAAACCTCATAGTACCCTTCCAAGGAGAAATATGAAGAAAAACAAAATCATCAACTTCAAACTCCAAATCCTTTCTTTTTCACATATCCACATAACTTTTCTGTCTATCCTATGCTACTTTCATACGATCCTGAATTACTTTCACTTTTTCTGTTGTGAGTTCAATCAATTCTGAACCCAATAACTTTCTTTCACCTACTTCACCCCAACACAAGGGAGTTCTACATTTTCTCCCATACAAAGTTTCATACGGTGCCATCCCAATTGTAGACTGATAACTATTATTATAAGCAAATTCAATCAACGGTAAATAGTCATCCCAACGACCTTTGAAATCCAGCACACAAGCTCTCAACATATCTTCCAAAATCTGAATAGTTCGTTCTGACTGCCCATCCGTTTGCGGGTGAAAAGTTGTACTGAACTTCAAAGAAGTTTTCATGGCTTCTTGCAAACTACACCAAAATCTAGAAGTGAACTTCGGATCCCTATCACAAACAATAGAAACTGGAGCCCCATGTAAACATATGATCTCATCAACATACAAACGAGCATATTCCTTTGTGGAATAAGTTGTTTTTATTGCCAAAAAATGAGCTGATTTCGTTAATCTATCAACTATCACCCAAATGGAGTCATGTCCCTATTTTGATCTTGGAAGTCCCGTCACAAAATCCATTGTCACATGCTCCCATTTCCACTGTGGAATTGGCAACGGTTGCAATAACCCCGCTGGTTTCTGATGTTCAGCTTTCACTCGTTGACATACCAAACACTTTGTTACAAATTCGGCAATTTCACGCTTCATATTATTCCACCAATAGTATTCCTTCAAATCCCTGTACATTTTAGTACTACCCGGATGCATAGCATATATAGAACTGTGAGCTTCATTTAAAATATCCTTTTTCAAAGAAACATCATTTGGAACACAAATTCGACTCTGAAAATACAAAATTCCATCATCCCTAACTATAAATTCAGTTGGTATACCTTCTTGAGCTTCTCTTCTTTTCTTATCCAGGAATACATCATGAATTTGTAACTCTTTAATTCGATCCAGCAACAAAGGTCTCACCGTAACATGTGCAAACAATGCTCCTATGTTAGTAACTATCAATTCAACTCCCATCAGCCTCAATTCCATAATGTTTGCCACCCGTGCACACTGTACACAAGATAGTCTCCCTGAAGACTTCCTACTCAAAGCATCTACTACTACATTGGCTTTTCCAGGATGATGGTGAATATTACAATCATAATCTTTGATTAACTCTATCCAACGTCTTTGTCTCAAATTTAAGTCCTTCTGTGTAAACAAATACTTCAAACTCTGATGATCTGTAAATATTTCACAAATTTCACTATACAGTTAATGCCTCCACAATTTTAAAGCAAAAACAATAGCAGCTAACTCCAAGTCATGTGTAGGATAATTCAATTCATGATTCTTCAATTGTCTAGAAGCATATGCAATAACCTTGCCATTTTGCATCAAAACACATCCTAGACCTTGATGTGAAGCATCAGTGTAAATTACAAAACCTTTACCACCACATGGAATAGTTAACACTGGGGCTGACGTTAACTTTTTCTTCAATTCTTCAAAACTTCTTTGGCATTCCTCACTCCACACAAACTTAACTTCCTTCCGGGTCAACTTTGTTAATGGCAATGCGATATTAGAAAACCCTTCGATGAACCTCCGGTAATAACCTGCTAATCCCAGAAAGCTTCTGACTTCTGTCACATTAGTAGGCCTTTCCCATTTCACCACTGCTTCCACTTTTGATGGGTCAACATAAATACCATCTCTAGATACTACATACCCCAAAAATACAACTTTATCAAGCCAAAACTCACATTTGCTGAACTTAGCAAAAAGTTATTTTTCCCGTAAGATCTGTAACACAATTTTTAAATGCTTTTCATGTTCATCCACACTCCGAGAATATATCAAAATATCATCGATGAAGACAATAACAAAAGAGTCAACATACGGATGAAATACTTGATTCATTAAATCCATAAATACCACTGGAACATTAGTTAACCCAAAAGGCATTACCAAAAACTCATAATGGCCATATCGAGTTCGGAAAGCAGTTTTAGAAATATCACTATTCTTTACTTTCAACTGGTGATATCCTGACCTCAAGTTAATCTTAGAAAACACCCTTGCCCCTTGCAACTGATCAAACAGATCATCAATTCGTGGCAATGGATACTTGTTTATGATGGTTACCTTATTTAACTGTCTGTAATCAATACACAACCACATAGTACCATCCTTTTTCTTGACAAATAGCACCGGTGCACCCCACAGTGAAAAACTGGGTCGAATGAAGCCCTTATCTAGTAGATCTTGCAATTGTACTTTCAATTCTTTCAATTCTGTCGGTGCCATTCGATATGGAGCAATGGAAATTGGAGTTATTCCCAGTACTAGCTCAATGGTAAAATCTACCTCTCTGTCCACTAGTAACCCCGGTAATTCTTCTGGAAACACGTTTGTGAATTCCCTTACCACTGGTACATTTTCAGGTGTCACCTCTTTATTTTCAATATCAACCACATAAGCCAAATAACCCTGACACCCTTTCTTCAACAACTTTCTGGTTTGTATAGCTGAGATGAGACAGTTTGGAATAACATTTCTTTCTCTGGTAAATCTGAATTCTGGCTCCCCAGGTATCTGAAATACAACTTCTTTCCGCAAACAATCTATTGAAGCATGATACGCAGATAGCCAATTCATACCCAAAATGATATCAAAGTCTGGTATACCCAACGGTGTCAAATTTACTTCTAACTATCTATCTCCCATTTGCAATACACAATCCCGATATTCATTTGCAACCACTACCACTTCCCCCATTGGTGTAGAAATAAACAATTTACTATCTAATGATGAAAGTGGTCTACCCAAATGCATAGCAATAGATGATGCAACAAATGAATGGGTTGAGCCAGGATCAATAAGCACAGTAACATTTCTATCCAAAATAGAAAGTGTACCTGTCACCACTTCTGGTGTTGCTTGAGCATCCTGAAGTGTCATAGCAAACACTCTTCCCTGGGCTTGTGAACCACTGGTAGCACCCCTACCTCCTCTTGACGAGCTCCCCTGCACAAAACCTTTACCGGAACCAGCAACACTAGCTACTGAGGTCACTCCTGTCAACATAGGACAATCTCTCTTTCGATGACTCGGCTGATGGCAATGATAGCACTCTTCTGCTTTCAACACAAGACAATCCTTCTTCTGATGGCCTTCCTTTCCACACTGAAAACACCCCTTGCCAGTACCATGTCCTCCAAAACTACCTTGTTATACAGATTGTTGTTCAAAAAGCCCTTGACCTCTTCCAATACCTGATGTCTGCCCTTGAGATTCACTACCCTTTCCCCTTCCATACCGCGACCTTTGACTTTTCTGACTTGAAATTCCTTCACCTTCTCTTGATTGTGATGGCTCAGATCTATTTCTTTTGTATTGTTCCCTTTTTTCTTGCAATTCTTTCACATCCCTTTCGGCAATCATGGCTTTATTCACAAGTCTATTGTAATCTATTTCCTCAAACATGAAAACTCTGGACTTAATAGCCGCCCCCAAACCATCCTGGAATTTTGTACATTTATCTTCTGCATTCTGTACAAACTTAGGTGCAAACCTCGATAAAGCTATAAACTTAACTTCATAATCAGCTACAGACATTCTGTCTTGTTTTAGGAGAATAAACTCCCGTTCCTTTTCTTTTCTATAAATTGGAGGAAAATATTTCTCATAAAAAGATTTAACAAATAGATTCTAGAATATCACCTCTTTCTCTCCTGGAGTGAGCAATAAATGTTTTATCGTTTCCCACCAATAACTAGCTTCATTTTTTAATATAAATGTAGCTAAGTTTACCTTCCAGTCTTTTGCTACACCCATCACTGCAAATATCACTTCCATTCTTCTTACCCACTCCTCTGCTTCTTCTGGTTTGGTAGTACCTGAAAATTCTGGGGGTGTTAGCTTTATAAACCTCTCATAATCCGAGCCTTTCTTTCCATTCTGTTGTCTTTCCAGCCTTTCTTGTATCATCATTTGACTTGCCATAAATTGTTTGTTTTGTTCTGCCAAGTCTGTTATAGCCTTCTCCATTTTCTGCATAGCAGTTAAGTACTCATGTTCTCTTCTCATACCACCTTGAATAGGTTGTTCCACTTCAACTCAACAGGAACATAAGTGGCTTCACCCTCAGTTCCATGATAACCACTTTCCCTTTCCATTTCTTTTTATCTGCAATGAATTTCAAATATAACAACATATATATGATACATAATCACCACATATATCTGTTAGTATAAAATCAAGTCAAATAAATGACTATACTACACACTTCTTACTGCCACTGCCAGTCTAGACTCTTATTACCTCCAGAACCTAGAAAACCAAAGCTCTGATACCAAAAGTTGACACACCCCAACCCAAGTTACACTATTTAATAAATTGAATAAATTGGAATGTATTCAACCATCTGCATTAACCTCATTCATACATGACATCATCCTACATCAGAGTACCTGCTTAACAGTTTACAATTAAAGATAAATTATAAATCCACCTCGCAAGTTCTAAGATAACTAAACAAGTAACTTCAAGTCATACTATTAAGTTCTACTACAATATTTACATTTTATACAAAAGACGTTCCATGGTTCTTTTCCCCATTCACACACAAGACTCTAGACTTGGCAGTAGCAACCCAACTTGATACCTGAAAAATATAAATATGGAAGGAATGAGCTTAAAGCCCAGTGAATGCAACACTACTACATTAAAGTAATATAAGCAAATATTATCTGCTAACTTCAATTAAACTTTATTAACATATTGCAGGTATTAAAATATCGTACTTTCCTTCTAGGCCAGAGTATAGACCTTATATAATATAGTACTCTCCTTCTAGGTCAGAGTATGGACCTTATTTAAATATAGTATTCTCCTTCTTGGCCAGAGTATAGACCCTTTTTAATGTAGTACTCTCTTTCCAGGCCAGAGTATGGACCTTATATAATAAAATCAAGTTATAGATATATTTATCTTCAATTCACATAACCACTGCAATACTTCAATTAAATATATCCAAGAATAAACTTCCAGTGAGTACACTCACCTTGGCTACGCCCCCACGTTATTCACTTATCCTTTGGTATGATCGAAGTTGTCAGCTTCTTTTCCTGGCCTATACAACATTATAACCATGTTATATTTATTCCAAAAAGATTAAACAATTAATTATCAATTTAAACATAAATTCCATCCTTAGTATGTCATTGGAATGGAAATTCTAATCACAACCACATAGAATTAACTTCAGCACAATAATTATACTCAAGTAAGAATGGTATTCTTTTATATATAATTTTAACACTCAATTAGGAAAATAATGAAATACATGGATTTTATTCAAGAACACCTCAATAAATAAATTATTGAAGAATTAGATAATATAAATTTCCAATAAAAATTAAAACTAAAGAATTTCTATCTTTAGGACTATGTCAACAATTTTCTCTAACTTCCCTTATTTGTTTCTTCTTCCTTCCCTATTTTTACTTTCCTTCCTTCTCCTTATTTCTCTCTCCTTCAATCTCCTTTCTGATTCGATTTCTATAATTTCTTTCTATACATTTATTGCATGCTATATATATTTCACCCCAACAATACAAACGACCTAACAATTCCTTCCATTTCAGATTATTTAGAACTTGAATTTATAGCAATCTACATGATTTATACAAAATTCATAAATCAGGTTATCATGAAAAGTTGAAATATTAAACATCAAATATAGAGATTTAATATATATATATATAAGTTTTTTTATCTGAACCTAAATTAAGAACTCCCTTTCCTTTTTCTCCCTTATCCCTCTTTCTTTCCCACACGACTTCACCTTCTTTTCCCCTGTATTTTCCCTTTCAAAACTTTCTATCTTTCTTTTTGCAACCCTAGGCCGATTTAGGAAGTCACAAAGGTAGTTGGGATGACTATTTACCGTTGATTGAATTTGCTTATAATATTAGTTGTCAGTCTACTATTGGGATGGCACCGTATGAAGCTTTGTATGGGAGAAAATGTGGAACTCCCTTGTGTTGGGGTGAAGTAGGTGAAAGAAAGTTATTGGTTCAGAATTGATTGAACTCACAACAGAAAAAGTGAAAGTAATTTAGGAGCGTATGAAAGTAGCACAGGATAGACAGAACAGTTATGTGGATGTGCAAAAAAGAAGGGATTTGGAGTTTGAAGTTGATGATTTTGTTTTTCTTCGTATTTCTCCTTGGTAGGGTATTATGAGGTTTGGCAAGAAGGGTAAATTAAGTCCCAGGTACATTGGACCGTACAAAATTTTGGAACGAATAGGAGCAGTAGCGTATCGGTTAGAATTGCCAGCAGAATTATCAAGATTACATGACGTGTTCCACGTGTCTATGCTTCGGAAGTATATTTCAGATCCATCTCATGTTTTAATTGCGGAACCAATTGAGTTGAAGGAAGATTTGACATATGTAGAGGAACCGGTACAGATTTTGGATTGCCGGGAGTAAGTGCTACAGAATAAAACTATATCACTGGTAAAGGTATTGTGGAGAAGTCACACGGTTGAAGAAGCAACTTGGGAAAGCGAGGAAACTATGAGAATGCAATATCCGCACTTGTTCGATATGTTTCATACATTTTAAATTTCGAGGTCGAAATTAATTAAAGGGGGGAAGAATTGTAAGACCCCGATACAAAATTAATTTCATTAGCTTAATTTTATTTTAATTAGACATGATTTACATATGAATATTTTATGGGGGTTCTATTTTGTGAAGTTTTTGTTTTGTATTACAGCTTACTAATTAAAATTTTTAGCTGCTAGGTGAATGAAAAGAAATAAATAAATAAATTAAATAAAATATATAGTGTGTTATGTTAGTTGCTTGCAGGACCCATCTATATTTTTTTTCATTAGTGTTATGTATATACACTAAAGATGGGAAGTAAATAAGTTTCTCCTGGAATTTATTCTAAGGAAATAGTGAATATACATAACACACAAGTATGATATGCATACACATACATTAGTATAGCCTAGAAAGATAAGTGGGAAAGGGAAAAAAAAAAAAAAACTTCTTGTGGAAACTGTTACCAACCGTAGCACCCATGAGTCACAGACAAGGGAATTTAATTTAACACTGAAGTGACATGGGGCATGGAAATAAAATAATAGTATCTGGAAGTTTATCTTTGTGACTTCCTGAATCGGCCTAGGGTTGCAAAAAGAAGGAAAGTTTTGAAAGGGACAATACAGGGGAAAAGAAGGTGAAGTCGTGTGGGAAAGAAAGAGGGATAAGGGAGAAAAAGGAAAGGGAGTTCTCAATTCAGGTTCAGGTAAAGAACTTATATATATATATATATATATATATTAAATCTCTATATTTGATGTTCAATATTTCAACTTTCCATGATAATCTGATTTATGAATTTTGTATAAATCATGTAGATTGCTATAAATTCAAGTTCTAAATAATCTGAAATGGAAGGAATTGTTAGGTCGTTTGTATTGTTGGGGTGAAATATATATAGCATGCAATAAATGTATAAAAAGAAATTATAGAAATCGAATCGGATAGGAGATTGAAGGAGAGAGAAATAAGGAGAATGAAGGAAAGTAAAAATAGGGAAGGAAGAAGAAACAAATAAGGAAAGTTAGAGAAAATTGTGTACACAGTCCTAAAGATAGAAATTCTGTAGTTTTAATTTTTATTGGAAATTTATATTATCTAATTCTTCAATAATTTATTTATTGAGGTGTTCTTAAATAAAATCCATGTATTTCATTATTTTCCTAATTGAGTGTTAAAATTATATATAAAAGAATACCATTCTGTTGGCACCAAAAACTGGCAGCCATCTCAGCGATGACGTGGACCAATGAGAAATTGACAAGTGTTTATTATGTCTTAAGGGAAGTCGGCCAATAGAGAGACAAAAGGAGAAAATCTAGGCAAATATATTTCAGCCACTTTGTTGATAAGGTTGTTGCTAAATATATTTGTAGAGATTTGAATCAATTCAAATATGTCATCAATTCAAAAGAGAAGACTTAAGAGATTTAGTTACAATAAATAACTAAATCCCAATAAAGTAGGAATTTCAACAAGAAAGGAATAGCCGTATAAGTTCAAAAGTTACAAATGGCCATTAGGCCATTTAAGGGAATGAAACGGGCTGCTAAACTTAAGGAGGGGAGTTGCTAAAAATTAGCAACTTTTCAGCAACTTTCTAGCAACGTTTTAGCAATATCTCGGCAACTTACATGTGATTAAATCGAGGAAGGTTGTTTTTACAGAGATTTCCTACTGAAACAAAACAAGAAAGGAAGCAGAATAACAATAGGATTTGACTGAGTTCAAATTGTGAAGAAAAAGAATCAAAGAAGGAGAGATTTTCTAGCAATAACTTAGGAAAATAAGTTGAGATAGAACTTCTATAAATAGAAGTATTGTATTCCATTTCTAACTTGTCCAGCACCACCACAAAACATGCATTTCAACTAAAAATGTTTTCAATTGACTCTACGTCATTTTTTCCTATCAATTTCTTTATTTAAATTTAATGGCAATTGATTAGATCATTGTCAACTATTTCAATTCAGCCATTTACTTTCTTTCAATTTC